TTCTTTTAAGATCTTGCTTTTTATCATCTTACGTCTTTTAATGAAGATGGGAACATTGACAGGGAAATAGATTTGAATGAAGAAGTTTCGTAAAGAATACGAATGGTAGTGTGATGTAAAATTACTCGTGCTAGAAAGTTTCATAAAAGCGACCCGAAAAATGGCTCTAATTGGGTAACCCATGGCACGATTTTAACAAAACTTGTTTTATTCTGTTTCTATTCTCATATCATTACAAATATAGTGCTGTTGTGCATCGTTTTTGCTGTATTTAATTACAGACAAGCAAACAAACAATCTCAGAGTTTTAGTAGTATATATATATATATATATACATTTAATGACCTTTGTACAAACAACTAAAACTGTTGAGCATGAAAATGTAAGTCTAGTGAAGTAGTTTGACAAAATAATAACTGAACTAATTATAGGTAAATGTGAAAATAAAGTAAATGCATTAAGTTGTCAAATACAGTTCATCTTAACTTACCTATTTTTAAACAGCCATGATCTGTCAGAAGCAGATTTGATACCTTGAGATCTCTGGAAAATAATTGTAAACACAAAAATGCTTTAATAACATCAGAGAAGTAAGAAATTATTGAGACCACCTTTACAATTTAACAAAAAAACACAAATGAGTAATAGCAGTAAATCCTGAATTTTGGACTAACACTAACACAAGTGAAACTTGTATTTCAGAAGGTTTTTAGTAGCTTGGTAACTTTCTGAAACAAAACTAAGTCTCACTCATGTTAGTGTTACTTTGATGGTCTCATCAATCGAATTGGACCTATTACTATTAATAATAGGACTGGTTTGGTGGATCAGATTGTCACAGTATTCTAATAATAATATTATTATCAATGTTAATTTTTTTAAACACAGTGCAGTTCACCACGTCACCTAGTTTTGGTCTAGGAGTTAGTACTTGAACAGATAATTTCGAAATCCTTGTTCAGTTTTAACACCAAGGCTAGCTCACAGGAAAAGTATATAGCATTGCTATACTATAGAGTAAGTTATGGGGAATAACTTAATTTTTGTTTCTAAATAAGCAATGTAACATAGCAAAAACTTATAAGCTTCATAAATTGTATATGCTACCTTATGACCCTACATTTTAAAAAAATTGGATAATATTGCTTTTAAAATACAATTTAAGAAAGGTGCATTATGATGAATTATTCATGTTAAAATGATGTTACCATTAGGCAAGAAATATCAATGAACAAAACGTATTGCAAGAAAAAAAAGGTGAATTTTCTTTCATGTAAAAACAAGCATGGATACTCATTTTAATCTCATGCTTCAGACTTCATTTTCTGTATCAGAGAAGATGGTTAAATACTTGCTTATGTAGCTGAGGGTAAGGGTGTAAAGTTGGGGTACCTTGATTTTCAGAAAGCATTTGACAAGGTGCCACATAAAAGGCTTGTAAAACTTATCTGTGTAGGTGTGGGGAATAAGTTAGCTAATTAGATAGAAGAGTGGCTGGAAGGAAGAAAGCAGAAGGTTGTTACAAATAGTGTTCAGCCAAACTGGATTAATGTCACAAAGGAGGTACCTCAGGACTCAGTCTTACAACTTTTGCTCTCTTTGATTTACATCAGTGACATAGATGAAGGAACGGTCAATAAATTACTTAAATTTGCTGATGATATTAAGGTCTTGGGTGTTGTTGGGTGAGAGGAGGCTGGTTTACAAAAGGATTTAGATCATTTAGTAAGTTGAGCAAATAAATGACAGATGGGTTTCAATTATAAAAAATGTAAAATAATGCATATGGATTATCATAATTTGAATTATAAGAATAATTTAGATAGGAATAACCTTAACAGTGTTATGACAGAAAGGGATTTTGGTGTAGTGATTGATCAGTCTATTAAGCCTTACAAGCAGTGTGCTGTTGCTAGTATTAGGGCAAATAGGACTTTAGGTATCATCAACAGAAATATTGAATACAAGTCTGAACAGGTTATAATTTCATTGTACAGGTTACTATTTACGCCAAATTTGGAGTATTATGTTCAATGCATGGGTTCATTACCTTAGGAAAGACACTGAATTGTTGGAAAGGGTTCAGAGGAGGACTACAAGGATGGCTCCTGGGACAGAAAGGTTGTCATATGAGGAGAGGTTAAGATCTCTGAAGTTCTCTCTTGAAAAAAAAAAGAGTAAGAAGGAATCTGATTGAAGTGTTTAAGATTATCAAGGGAGTTCATACTTTCATACATAATGGTAAGACTGTGGGACACAAATATAAATTTTGGCAGGGAATGAGTCATTTTCAGCTAAGACAGTTATAACTTACTAACATGATAGTTGGCCTTTGTAATGGGTTGCCTTTGGATGGTGTGGAGGCAGTAAATTTAAAAGAAAGCTTGATAAATATATGAATGATAATGGCTGACTTTGAGTTTTTTAATTTAATAGTTTTAGTTTACAGGATGGACCAGCCTAGATGGACACCACAGCATCAAGATACTTAGTCTTAAAGTGTTGAAGCAGCAGGAACCTTCAAATGCATCCAGACACTTGTCTGTTTGAGGCAAATAAAAGGCATCAATGCATTCATCTGTTTAAAAGCAATGCAAAACTCAGTATACTGTTGCGTCAGTGAGGTCACATGACTAGGGTGATGCCACGT